GCAAAAGTCTGATATGGTCCGGTTTTCACCGTACAGTCGGACACAATAACGAATAAGGGCAAATGGAACATGAACGAGATCAAGGCAGAATTTCTGTACGAAGTCTCTGAGTTATTTTAATGAATAATTTCCTTGTTAAGTTTCCTACTGTGACTTTGTTATGGTACAACTAATGCACCAGCAGCAATGGTTAAAATCAACAGGTCGTACATTTTAATGGCATTGACCTTGAATCATACATTGATTTATCGAGATTAGGTAATTCATTGTGCTGACGTTAGAATTATCTAACCATGGATTAGTGGTCCAACATTGATAAATGAATGTATAGGAATTGGCGTTTTATATCCGGAATCGAGTATACAACATAAATAGTTAATACTTTTTGGTCTTCTGTTATATTCGCGTACGTTATAAGTTGGACATTGCACAGTCTTTCGAACCACTATTGGATGGTAAAAAATGTTTCTTTCAAGTTGATCTGAGGATAGATATACGCTCCACCTAAACTTTTCTACGCATTACCCGAAATCACTTAGGCATTTTTTCTTAAAAAACCGCTCTTATGCCAGTTCTTTGACAATAACCGGTTGGATTAGTTCCGTAGTTTAACTACCTTGACTTTTGTAGTCGGTTAGACTGCTTGATTTTAGGAAACAATCCACACTCCATCCTTTAAGGTGCTCCATAGCTAGTAGTATATTGTTACAGCTGAAGGTTGACTATCGTTGATCAACGCTGAAAAAATAAAGTCAATCACTTGGATAAATGAAAGTGTGCATTTGCTTTTCTGATGAAGAGAGCTGCGGAAAGTGTCCATCTTTTCAGGTAATAAAACCCGGATAGCTTAATTGAAGTGGTTAGGTGACCAAAATGTTTTGCTCAAACGGTACGATTTTTATCTATCTATTCCTTGTGGTACCGGTAACATGTCGAAAATTTTACTTTGTTATATTGTGGGAGGACTCATTCATTCTGAAACACATCATGTATAGTGCTGAGTAAGTTACACTAAATGAACGTGATCATGTTGTTACAAAAGGTTGGTTAAATAACTAATCCACGTGAGGAATTGCAATGGGATTGTGCAACCTGCGTTATATTGCGTCACTTGATCTAGGACGTTGCACTACTGCCATACGGCTCACGTGGGTTATGCCGGAGTTACACTTATTTCACGTAATGAAAAATGACATGATGAGAGCAACATGGTGCATTTGTGTTAACTTGAAACTTTCATCACTCTGAGAAAATCTTTAACCTTGTGGAGTCCAAAAGGATTCATATAACAACGTACAGGAGACGGTGACAATTGCTTATACATAAGCATCGGTTCTCTCAGATAAATGGTCGAAGTTACGAACTGTCTACTCAATCATCGACCCAACAAGCAGTGCTACCCAATAGTGTTGTTTACTTCAAATCCTAAACAAACTGTCATTCAACAAGAGTGCCGTCAGATAAGTTCGCGATCCCCCGCCTCATTGGTGGAAAAACTGTTTATTCCTACTATATTTGACTCACTCACATAACAGTCCGCAAACTAGGAAGAACATATTTGTAATTCAAAACTCAACCAACCCATCTTCACATCCCCTCAAATATGGTAGTTCTACACAGGTTTTCTTCATATCCGCTTTTTATTTCCCTTAGCATGTAAAAGCCTCAGTTAAGAAAATAAAGTTGTATTGACAGTACACGAAAACGATATCTGATCTCGTGGCTGGCTTTTTCTGATAACTCAGTTCGAAAATCACGTAATTCTACACCCGTTATTAGTAGACATATCAAGACCTGGAAACAAAGCCTTTCGGAGAAATTGCTATGGTTTGGTTTCTTCCCACTCGTAGCCAGGCTCTAGGTGTTCTTTCCATGCAATGTTTTGAGCTATTTTTAAAGGCATGCTAATAACTTCGGTTGCATCGTGCATCTTATAGCAGTTATCAGATCTATTAATCCAAAAACTGCTTGCTCTCTTCTTTTATTAGGTAAATTTTCATTTGAAGAATCACTGACGTTTCAAACGGTAGTTTTGCAAGTAAGTTCATATCAAGCGATTCACCAATTGAGAGAAATCACATCGGTCTATGAAGAAGAACAAAATATGATGTCCGTATGCATGAGAGGATTATTTTGTTAGGTGTGTTAGTTTCACAAACCGAATGTAGGGAAAACCGACGTATCATTATGAGTGAGGTTGTGCACTTCCGAGTCTGTTAGGTTCACGTGAGACTGTGATGAGCCTGTTGTGATGATCTTGCTCACCACTATGACGCCAGCCAAGTGCATACGCCATACAGTTTCTGCACAAGTAAACCATTCAAACTGGATGAGGTTAACCGCGGAACACTGGATAAAAGGGGCACACGATTTGGTTAATATCTGATGGGACAATAATCTTCTGTTGTGTGTATTATATCATTCACCTTAGTTGCACTCGTCTTGCATCTTGGTGTCCATGGATTTCGTGAACTGACGATCACTGTACTGTTGGTTTCGATTCCGGATCTGCTAATATTTCCAATACCAGACCTACACTAAAATGCAACGCCACCTAGTTGACTTAATGATGAAGCTTCATGACAACTGAAGAACCGCATCCAGGTTAAACATTGGTAAATTGTAATTATATATATGTAACTATCTGTAACCTATTAAAATCCGCTGTGATTTCACTGGTATTATTGAGTTTACAAAGGACGACATTCAACTGGATTAAATATGATAATATAACTGTGATGCAGTCAGTTTCATTCGAAAACTGGAAACAATGAAAATACATATCAGTTTGAAGCGATGCATCACTTAAATTATTGATTCACATTGGCAAGTCAAGTGCAATTTATTCATTCATTTGAGACAACGTTTAGTTAGAAATGTTATCGCTTTTGCCTTGGAAAAGTTGCTATCATAAATGATTTAATTACTACACATGTTTAAGTAGACACTGAATAAGAGAAGAGAGAACTCGTTGTAAAAGTATAAAATCGTAGAATAATACTTTGCATGATATTGTGCAATAGTTTGTTTGGTATTCGTCCCCTGGACACTAATAATCTCGAAACCTAAAGTACAACTTAATAATGAAAATCTCTGATGCAAATGCATAAGGAGTACGGTTTGTTGCGAATAACAGAGATGGATACATGAGCCAATGGCTGGTTGAGTGTAAAAGTGTGGTGTGTCGCACAAGTTTGAGTCACAGAAACGGTCACACCCCTCAGGATGTTGGTTGAGATTGATGTCGATCGACGCAGCGTAAGAGGGTGGTAAATATCAAACGATGCTTTCCAGATAGTTTCTGATTGATATAAATCATTCGCCAAGAGCCGGAAAGATAACGGAATAACAGTTCATCCAAACGCCTAGACGCCACCAAAGATAATTTTATAAATAATAGATAACAGCATTCTCATATATCGAACGCTTGAGATGTAAACGTCAAACGTTTAAATTGAAGGAAATCTGGTTTTACTTGTTAGAACTATTTCAATCAAGCAGACTAATAACATCAGAAGAATTTGAAGTACTGTGGTATTCTAAACTTCTAGGTGTCCATCAGGAATTCGGGAACGAATGATCCGGAAAGTGTTGTTGGCCTGCGAATAATGGAACCGGGCCCTTCAGAAATGGAACATTTGGTTGCTTTGTAAGGTTGTTGCTGGATGCTTCACCAACCACTATGTTATCGACATAGCTAAGTTTGAAAAGCGTTGGTGTGTTTAGTAATTTTTCAATACCACGGGAAAAATAGAAATTTAGGTCAAATGTCTTATATCAAGTGAATCATATTGCAGCAGCACTGAACCTCCATAGTTTCCTTTATTTTGGTTCACAAACGTCGTGCAAGATAAAATGAAACATCTATGCAAAACATTAGATTCTAAAAGTGTCTATCTGGAAAAGATAAAAGTCCAAAATCCAACAAAATGCCGTATTGTGATCCAAACGCTTATGAGTAAACTGAATTTAGTAGAACATTTAGTAGGCAAAAATTGGTTCCCCCAATGCTTTGAGGAGGTAGTCTGATATGATCTTGCGTCTTGGTTGAACCTNAACCTGAACCAACTTGGTAATTTCGAATGCAGTTGAGTGGAAGATCATAGGGTAAAACATCCAGCCAGTAAAAGGTGAGAATGCAGAGATTCTCATTAATTACAATTTTATATCTCGACAGCTGTTATTTTTAATGTTTGGTATAAGTTTGATATGAAGCTATAACATAACCATTTACAGCAACGCATGTTTTTTTGAATACAAAAGACCGAAATAAGGATACCAGTAAGTGAAATCCAGACAAAAAAACCAATGATACTCTAAGGATATTATGTAAGTAAAATTCCCGTTGGTATATTGTGATTATAAAGTCGAAATATTTACTGAGTTGATGAAATAACGAATAAAAAGCAAACGCCAGTACCTTTAAGACCAGATCTCTCATCGATACCCACATATAAACCAGCACGCTACCCATTCCGAGTTTTGTTCCTAACTGGACAAAAAGCAATTTACGAAAGTGATTGTACACTGCTTTGCTCTTATTTCTATTATCTCCCAAAGACACTCATATGGCGAAGAATGTCTCTGCATTAGACTTCCATAAATGGTAAGACAGAGATTTTATTTTTCGCAGTATATTGCCGTCAATTGTGTTACGTCTGCGTGATGAATCCCATCATCAACGGGTGCGTATGATATATTGAAGCCGATCCTTCTCACCGTCACGTGAATCGTCAGAGAGAAAGCTACCAATCAACTCAATCCTCTAAAAATAAAAATACCAGGCACATCATAAAAGCCAGCTATTACCAGTGAATTACATAACGATGAGCATGNAATCCCATCATCAACGGGTGCGTATGATATATTGAAGCCGATCCTTCTCACCGTCACGTGAATCGTCAGAGAGAAAGCTACCAATCAACTCAATCCTCTAAAAATAAAAATACCAGGCACATCATAAAAGCCAGCTTTTACCAGTGAATTACATAACGACGAGCATGAAGTCCAATATTGTAAAATTACTACTCGTCACTTTCTGTGTCAGTGGAGTTGTCGGTAGGTAATAAAGTGTCGATGCAGCTCATTTACAATGACCAGATGTGGAGGCACAGAGTTGTGAACCAGTTGTTGCCTCGAATGAAGTGCAAAGTGTTGTAGTGAAAGGCGGTGTCTCCGGTTGCCAGTACCGTGTGTCGTCGGACACCGGTAAAGCGGTGAAGGTCTATGTTAACGTAGGTTAAAAGAAATCTACATAAGATGATTTCAAACTATGGAGCAGTTATTTTGAATGAGTTACAGCACGTCTATTTATTTGTTTCCAGGCTACCAGTGGAACCAAATGCGTGATTGTCACGAGCGGAGGGACTTCAGACAAGCTGTGCCCGTCAAGTGCATACAATCAGTTGATATCTCAAGAATCGATTGAATTGAGCGCGGAGTCCGGGACCACAACTACACAGGCAGCGGTAACAGAACCAAGTACAGCAGAAACGACTCCTAAAGATGAATCAGGAAGTGATGAGGAAAAACCAAAACCAGGTGAATCCGGTGATAAAGGTAAAGATGGAGAGCCAGAAGCAGCTGAGAATCAAAATCCAGACAAAAACGAGAAAGCAGATCCGGAAGCACCAGGAAAGAAGGTACCAGGGGATCCAAACGGAGCGCCGGAAAACGAATCACCCGAAAGTCCCCAAAAACAAGCACCGGACCCAAAAGTACAACAACAGAATGTGCCAGGTGCTAGTCCACTACTTCGAAGTGCAAGGGACACCTCCAGCATCGATGTTACCGTATACTACGTATTGGGTGAGTGTATAAGAGCACTGATACCCTTGTGTAAATCATTGTGTATTGCAAACCAACTGTTTTAAGAGTACAATACGAATGCAGATACTCGAATAATGCGGAAACATGATGAAACGAGCACAAATCAATGTATCGTATCTCTTGTATTCCGTTTTAGATGGTGTATCAAAATCCAATCCCTCAGTCTTCCTTCTTCTTGGTTTGTTCACATA